GGGGGGGTGGGGTGCTACTGCAAAATGCCAAATTGTTTTGGTGAACGGAGTTGACCTTTCCCCCAAAATGCTTCAAAAAGTAAAACAGGCTCTATCCTTTCCCTCTCTAATAATAATAATACTAATAACAATAATAATAATCCCATTTTGCTTTCAGGCTCCTCAGATGTATCTGCAGTTAGCGGTAGTGACTTCTACGAGGCCGTGGTAATGCCAAAACAATCGGGTGACCCCTTGACACTCTGTCTGACACAGAGACAGCCGCATTCAAAGTCCAACCTCCTTCCCCAATATGACTCTGACCACCAAGTGCCTCTTGCTAAAGGTCAGGCTTCTATGCCTCACACAAATCCCTCGTCAATCTGGTCGATTGCTGAGACTGATAAGGAAACCCCCTCGGGCCAGGCTCCGTCAAATCGATTTAATGTGGCCGCCCAATTCCTGAATCACGGCAGTCGGTCGAGTAATATTGGCTCAACAAGTAGCTGTGAACGACAGGGTAAATTGCGGTTTAAAACGCGAATGTATCTACACATTAAGTGCTATAGAGCAGGATTAAAAGAAAGCCATTTTTAATTCTGAGCTAGGCAGTTAGATGAAGGAATTACAAACTGACAGCATTCATGTGCATTCCCACATGTAAACAAACTGGGAGCACTAATTTTCTGGAACACACGATGGCATTCTCATGAAAACCCAATATTGACGCGGTAATAATACATCATGATTTGTGCCTTGAACGCGCTAGTTGATTAGTCATATATATACGAACGCACCACAATGCCAAATGAAACACGTGAATTACTAAGACGGCCCCTAATCGTATGCCAATAATATCAGAGTGGAGAAGGAAGATTTTCTGTGGTGGGGGGTGGGGGTGGGGGGGGGAAGTTGGCTCATTGAAAAATAATATCTATGTGGAAGGCAACGCCCATCCTAAACTGAGTTGAGAGGATGGAGTTGTTCGTCTCTCTCTTTCCCTCTCCCGCTCTCTCAGTGCCTAACTTGGGGGTAAAAAAACAGAATTTTGAAACCAGACACCAGCCGATGGCAGAAGGGTTATAGTGGCTGTGGAGGGAGGGAGAGTGGAGGGTGCTGAGTATCTAAAATAGCACCTGATGGGGGGGGGTCCGTTTAGAGTCAATTTGGGCACTATTATGAATTGAGGACCTCAAGCAGCCCACTTAACTATTGTGCCCATTGAGCTTACTGCTCACTAGAGCTCACTGGAATTTCNGGGGGGTGGAGGGAGGAGTTGAACAAGTAATGACACTATTGATGGGTGGAGGAAGAGACAGCAATCAATTCAAGCTCACCTTTTTATGAGTGCAAATGCTAGTTTATGAAGGTGGGGGGGGGGGTATTTCATCCACGCAATAGCATGAGTGGGCATATCCATCACTGATCAAATGCATAGATACCTTCTGGCATTAAGCTTGACACGAATCTGCCTACTTTCTGACCATCCATCAATGCGCATAAGGAGCTGCACCAAACATTTGCGGATGTGCTTCCTATCAAAAAAGGGGTTTCTGACATTTTATTGTGCCTAAATTTGCGAAACAAAGGAAGAAATTGCAGATGCTCTGAGGAAATAACCCCTGAGCCCTAATGAGAAACCATTTTTAAAGACCCATCATAAGTAGAGTCAGATGCTATCATTCCAACGCCCCACTCCTTCCACCAAGCGTCACCTTCGACCCCCTCACGGAAACTGGTTAACGGCTGCTAATATACCCATTGTACACTAGGGTAGCAAAGGTTTTATGGGAAATTAAGCTATTAGGGAGAGCTTTAGTTTAACAGTGGGTTCGCGTGCATGTCAACGAAACCACAGGTCTCGTACACCACTGAGGGGAATGACCAACCTCATTGATTAGGTTTGGGGGATAAATGGACTGGCGAAGTTCAAGTTTTGCGCCAAGAACGTAGTTAATTCCCCGTAACTCAAGACGAGTATTAAAGAATACCTTCGTAAGTGGGCATTGAAATTATTGTCGAGAATAGGTGATCGCGCATTATGGATGCCTGGGAACATACTGACAAGCAACCAAAAAGAGGAAGGTCAGGGTCATTTGTACTCGAGAGCGATGGTCAACATGCGAAAAGTAGAAAAAAATAACGGGGAGCAAATAAAAATCAGCTCACCACAATGAATCAATACAGTGGGAATTCAAATAGGTGTTTTTTTAATCTCCTGATCTGTGTCCGATTTTTTGTAGAAAAAGTGGGCAGAAACATTTGAAATACAAACTCTTTCGTGTTCACACTGGTTAAAACAACCATTTGTCCTCCACCATTGGTTAACTTAAACACTGAATGGTATAATGATTAGGAGTGATGATTTTGGATCGATGCACACTTTCCATGACGTTGTCAAGTTCAATTCTAAACAAATGAATCGCTTTTTGTTACAGTGATCAGTACAAGTCTTGGAGAGATTCCGGGTTGCAAACCGCCAATTCCTCCCTCAAATGGAGGCAGTCTGAGTGGAAGTAAGCTCTCCTGCGGTTCCCTGAATTCCGGCAACTCCTCTCTCCCCGTGTCTGGTAATACGCCCAACTCAACTCCCAACCGAGTTGGTCCCGGCAACTACGAGAATCACGCCACTACAAATCCAGCCTACATGATGGGTCCAGTCGGCTCTTCCAGTATGTTCCTTCCCACGCCTCATGGATACTTCCCATCGCCAACCCCACCCTACGAATTCTATGATAGATACTTTAAGGATGGCTTACCACATCCTCACAATCCCCACCTTCAGATGCCCCCACCTCCGATTCCTTGTACACCTGGCCTGGTACCAAACTTCCGGTACCCTCCTCCTCTACGACCTCAAACTTGGATGTGCTCCGGAAAGGTGCCGCTCGACCCCACAGACGATAGAAGAAAAGTGAGTTGTGGTGGATTCGTGAGAGAATTCCAAGACGACGGTTGTAGCTTGTTGTTCATTTAAGAGAGGTGGGTGTGTGGGGGGGGGGGGGGGAGGGAGGCTTGAATAGACGTTGTTGAAGGTTTTTTTTGCGAAGCGGAGATGCGCTGTCTCCTCTTTTCTTAATTTTCTTGAAGGATGTTGTCCGCGTGAGTAGGATGGATGTGACATTTAATTGAGAAATCATGATATGCCAGTTAGATGTGTACTCCCACTTCCACCTCCCCCCTTAGAGGAAGAGGAGAGGCAGTGTCGTAGACAAATTTTAATACACTGTCTCCTAGAAGACCGATGAGTCAGCGCGAATTCGTTATCGAGTTGTGATTCTCAATTGGAGGACGGTTGAATAAGTGAAACTCTTGTTGAAATAAACAGGAGGCGTAATTTCTATACTTCTACCGCGGTCTTCTGTTTTAGGTGCTCATTAGATGCTGCTGCCGATCATATGCTATCTACTGTTTACTTGAACGATTATTCTCATTATCACTATCATTTTGAAGTCAGTTGATTTTTTTTTCAATCTTTTTTTCGGTTTATCTTTTTTTTTAATTAAAGGCAGCTTTCACGTTAATTTTAAAATCCACTATAAATGTCATAGCGCGCAATGCTCATATGAAGTGATTAATAATTTATTTAAATGCATTTAATATCCATGACATTTTGGCTCCAAAACCAAGTGCAATTTACGTGTATTTTGAAAGAACGTCGGGCCAAACGGCTCTGAAAAGAAACAATCACTTTTACATACTAATTGGACTCGGGGTGTATAGTTTCCACGCAGAAGGTAGACGGGAGGCATCTTCTACGATTTTAGAAGGGCGGTGTCAAGTTTCCGCAAAAGCTACTGCTGTTAATAGTCCACTTAAATGGAGATGTTTACTGGCTGGAAGTAGTCCGAGTGTAGATGTCAAGTAAACATTGCGATGGCTGTCACTTTTCTTGAAGAAAGTCCTCTCTTTGTTTTTCCCTTTGTGAATTTTATTTTATGTTAGAAGAAATTGTTTATCTGAAGCAATAAAAATTGGCGTCTGACTGGCGGCGCGGAATCCAGAGTTTCCAGGTGGATAATCAATGCAATGCCATGTCGACAGAGATATATATTGGTTGGCTAGGGTATGTTGGTAGGTAGGTAGGTAGGTAACATACCACTGAAGCACACTCTGATTGTAGTTGCTCAGACACAGAGGTCTAGCAACGCAATGACTCTTACCAAGTACTCAAAATGGGAGGAGACATGGTTTCCAAGCGGAAACGGAAAAGAAACGGCGCTTGGAAACCTTTGAGCGCATAGCAACAAACTCTCGTTTTTTTTGCGCGATAGTTTAAGGCATTTTTACCAGTCATGGAGAGCTACAATTTTTCATGCTTTTTAGTAATCCGCATTGACAATTTGGCACTTCAGAGGGAATAAATTTTGCCAATAAGACTATGACATTGTGACAACACAGATAATCAGTAATATTTTATCCCACAACAGCTGAAGTTTGTCGGATCAATCTTAATTTCTGACCCAAATACCATGATATGCTACCTATTAAATCATCTTTTCAGTTCATTTGGCGAGAATTGTTCGTCTCCCCCTCCTCTCCCCTCCCCACACCCCCCCCCCCCCCCCCCCCCCCCCCCCCCCCCCCCCCCCCCACTTTGTTTAAATTCAAATTCCTGCCATTTTCCCCTTCCTCTGTATTTTATATATTTTTTTTCCAATGGAATCACCACCAAACAGTGTGTAAATAATTGAACAGTTAACGAGAAAATAGCGCCCATCTTTTTCCTCATCTTCAGGCTGCACTACTAGTGGTGGTTGGCACGCACGATCCTTTTCCATATACCGTTTTGGTTCATCCTCTCTCTCTCTCTTGTGTGTGTTCACCTTCTGCCTTTCTCTCTCTCTCTCTCTTTCTACGGTGCTTCTGCGATTCAAGCACAGCAGGATGTCCGATTATGAAGACACTGAAATTGCGTATTTGTGGAGGGAAAGGGGAGAGAGTGTGGCGTACTGTGGGGTGTGTGTGTGTGTGTAGTAGGGGGATTGATTCAGTGCGCATTTGGGCATTGCATGATTTGCCCTTTTATAATCGTCGGGAAATGATTCAACAGATTTGTGGTTGCCTAGCAAAATTGGATCAGAGGAAGGGCTGCAAAGAGGGTTCTGTATCCAGGGTAGTATAACTAACTCCCAGGCCCTTCCTTAGGAAAACCCTTTTCTAACCTCCACTTACCTTGTCAAAGGAAGCAAACATTACGAAGTGTTCAGAGCATCGAAGTTCATTAAACACGCGACCTCTTAGTACTAAGGAAGTAGCCGATCATGCATTAAGGAGTTATAAAATCTTCAAAATTGAGCTCTTTTCAGAATACCATGGCAATTAGCTCAAAAACTTGACCACGATGGTCACTAGAGTGTGTATAGGTTCCAATTGCAGTGATTCTTGCTCAAATGGATGAGAATTTATTCACCTGGACATCTTGCAGAAATTTGGAATCTATCTAGGCATGCATCCTAACATCTAACATCTAAAGCACTCATGTTTATGTAGAACATTGTGAGATCAAATGGATGTATGTGACTTGTTCATGAGTTGAATAAACAGTTGAAAATCATCAATCATATATGCGGTGTCGCGGTTAGCGACTAGCCTCCTTTGGACGCATGCCAAGGAGAATCGAATCCTAGAACTGACTTAATTTATAAGTGCCTCTCTCATTGAAACAGAGTGGAAACACTCATCTTTGAGTTTAAATTAGATTTTCATTACTAATTATGTCCAGGTTTGTTAGGAGGTTAGTGAAGCCAATGTATTCCACTTGGAATTCGCAGTGTCATTAAGCTTCAAGCAGCCTACATCTCTGATGTCGACAGTTTTGAATGACAAGTTCCCTCTTCAGCTTTCAACGTGAGCAATATTTCCCCGTAAAACAAAGCTTCGCTTCACTTTGCATATTCTAAATAGACTACTAGAATCTTCGAATATGTTTTTTTTCTCGTATTTAAAAGGGACAAATTTTATTGAATGTGTATTTTTCCCCTACCAATCTCATCTTTCGATGTGTTTCATCAGTTGAAGTAGATTTTAAAATGTGAACATTTTTAACTTTGAACCTCTAAGTCATTGGCCCAACGCACTTTCAGTCTTCGATGTGTAAAATTCTCCAAGTAACATTTCCACGATTAATATTTACGATAAAATTTGCCTAATGTTTATTCATGAGCTAATTAAGTTGGCAGATACGATAAAATTTTGAAAGAGAGTTTTGGCAGACATGCAAGGTACCTATTGATGGGGCGGTGGGGCGGTCGGGGGGACAAGTGACTGTGAGATTTAAATCTGAAAAATTTTCATAATAGCATCAGATATAGTCTATTTTCATGCAATAACCTTTTTTTAATCTCTCCGTCTCCAACTCAGCCCTAAAAGTATACACCTGCTAAGTGTATGGAGATGCCAAAACATTTTTTCCACTCCAAATTTTTTCGATCCATAATTTGCATCGCGTCTACTGGTGGAGTACAATTTCTAGCGCAATTTTTTTAGCAAAATTTGTATGCTCCAAGTATGCACTGTATGACTCACTTAAAATACTTTCAAAAGACTAAAAGATATGTGGGCATATTCTCGAGTTCTGGGTTTCTTCCGGCTTTCAATGCATGTTTGGTAAAAAAAGATTTGCGATTTTATCCCTAAAAATTGAGTAAATTTGTTGTTTTCTTTATTGTGTGCTTTGATTAATGCCATTAGAATCCTAATAACGCCTACATTTTTGAACATGCAGGATGATACAACCTCTTCCAACATCTACGAGACTCCCTATGCAGAAGTGGACATTGTCAACAGTCCTTCCAAATCCCCCATCGGGGACACCACAGGAGGTAGTGGAAATGACAACGGAAGTGTCTGTTTCACCTCCTACGGTGTGATCAACTCCCCCTACGCTAGTAGCAGTGGCCAAAGTAACCGATTTCCTGGCCTTGGCAACGGCGGTGATTCACAGAATCGGACCCAGGGCAATAATCGTCCGCTGATGGAGTGGGTGGTGAAGAAGAGAACGGATGGCACACGATATATCACTCGTCGACCGGTTAGGTATGTGGTAGACCAATCAAAACCCATTTAAGTGCGCGTCAATCTATCAGTCGTGAAATCGAAATGACGGACTATGTCACTGGAAGCTTATTTATTTATTTATATCAAATGGCAGGCGTTTTGATAGTTATCATTAGCCCTTTAGTTGATTTCGGGCTTCACAGAGAGGAGGAACAACAAAATGACAATAAGTCCAGAGGAGGGACAGAATAAAGATTAACAGATATGAAAGAATAAGGCAGATACAAAGGTAGAAAAAAGATGGAGTACTGTGAAAGGGGTCGAATATGACATACAGTTGGGTTATGAGTCAACTGCCGGTTAATAGACTTCTTTGCCGTATGTGTATACGTTGCCCAGGGTGCACCACGTGTAGGTAAGCCTATCGCACACCCCATTCAGTTAAGATAATTAAACGCAAAGATTAGTTAAACTTATGTTTTTTGCCTTTGTTGTTTTGGCTCTGCTGGCAGATTAAAATTAATTTCTTTATCGATCATGAAGATGTGTTATTCAGTTTAGTAATCTATTGTTGAATGACGAAGATATTGTTTTCTCTGAACGTTTGCCAGTGTTTATAAAATATAATCCCTATAGCAACACAGACAGCCAATCTAAAGCAGGAAAATTCTCTCTTTTTTTGCTTTGAAACACTTGTGCTGTCACCCCTCTCTACGCACTAAAAGTCACAACTTTCATGAAAATGCTAAAGATTTCACTTCAATGAACTTGTGTCAACAATATAGTTAAAGTGAAGCGAGCAACCCCTTATCCAACTTTTGAAAGCGTTGATAAACGCTTATCTTGGGCAGGAGTGAAGGGAAGGGGAGGGGCTGAGTCTAGCCTTCATTCCGAGAAGCTTAAATTCTGCCATCCCTTTTTAAGGTAGATGTAATCATTCCACCGACTGGATGTATATTTGTGGTCTTCGATCTGATCTTAAAGTAAGTGTTCTTACTACTGCATTACTGATGCGCGCGTGTGTGCGTGTTATACGTAGAGATCCGTTCAACACGAGTTTCGAACTGTCGACTTCAGTCTCGTTGCTCCTTAAAAGTGCTCTTTTTTTACCTCAGCAATTGTTTCGCTTTCAGGTCTTATGTTATGCGTTTTTTGTATTCTTTTTGGTGGTTTGCAAAATACGAGATATGTTTTTTTTAATAATGGGATATTGAAGAAACTAGCAATAGTTACACTTTCAGGTCCATTGAGACAGGTTTTGACTTGGGTGCTGCTAAAGTATGTTTTGGCGTTATTACGAGGAATTTTTCTACCACTTGTTGTTGTTGTTGTTGACCAGAATTATCCGGTTACCGGTTAGTCATCCATGTCACTGGATTTGCGCCGCTTAGCTTTATTCCCTCAACGTCTAGCACGTCGAACACTGATCCACGAGCCTGTTACCATAACTATGGCTATTTCGACAAAAATAATTAATTTTTTCGTTCTTTATTTATTTCCACTTTTTTGATTGATAAATCCAACGTGTCCCTTCCTATTTAGTTTGTTTTACTCCACAGGAGTAGCCAATAAAAAAATTAATAAGGATTTACTATTTCTTAACCAAGCTCATTTTCTTCTCCTTTTAACTTTAATCATCTTCAGTGCTCGTGGGTGTCAGTATTGAGGCGAGCGCGAATGAAACCCTACTCTATTTATCCACTTTCGTTGGCAATTGAACTGGAAGGGGGGGGGGGGTGAGAGCAATTAGATTAAGATACCTCTGAAAATGAATGCGCGCAGATACGGGCAATTTGGCGCCTCACCTTGCGTTGTAGCTCTCCTTTCCC